GTCGTGGCAGTGACGCTGCCGACGCTCCCGTCGTTGTGGCACCTCTTGTGCCCCCCAGCGCTTGCCCCAAGGGAAACGTATTCAGGCACCCTGAGCACCCTGCCGCCACCGGAGGCTGGAAGAAGGCGCTTGCGCTAGTCATGGAAGAGCCCGAGGCGAGGCTTCCTCGACATTGCTGTTAGGCTTCCGATGGCTGGCCTTGTGCCTGGCTAGGGAATGATACGACCCGAATGCCTACCCGTAGACGGAAGGCCTGTACTCGAGCTTCGCCGACCAAGTCGGAGGACAACAATGGCAGGCGATGAGTACCGGGCCCTCATCCGCGAGCGAGCACTAGGAGGCAGAGCGCAAGTACTCCTTTGCTGATCGAAGCGCTTGGGTCCGAGGGAAAATCGTTCCATATCAAACCTGAAAAAAAAACGAAAAAGAAAAAAAAAATATTGTGCATAATGAAATAGTTGAAAAAAAGAAAGTTTTACCATAACATTGTTTACGAGGAGAGGCACGCCACCTGTAGAAGGCGACGTCTACTAGAGTCGAAGGCCACCACATATAGGGCGAGTGCACTAGCAACTTCATGAATATGCCAGCAAACCCATATCCGAGAAACTACACACCATAAGCCATTTTAAGTTGTCACTTCTTCAAAGGAAGTAGGGAAAGATCAACTAGAATTAACTAAAACATTCGAAGAATTCAGCACCATATTATTACTTTTTCTAAAGAATAACTAATGGTTTTTTTTACACCGATTTCATGATAACAAAAGAAATCACCTGAATCGATAGTACCAGCAGTATGGCCGGCAGTAACGGGATATCCTTGTGGTAGATCTTGGATATGGTTAATATTTCAAAGCCGGCAGAAGCACTTACCCTGCCGGCCAACATGGTGGTCGCCACATGTTCTTTCAAGTTGAAGGGTCCCGGATTCAACGAGAAACTCCAGTTTGTGTATGGCATTCTTATCACTTTGTTCGGTAGCATGTTAGCCATTAGTTTCCCAGCAATGAACACCATCATGTTGATGCAGACATGTGAAAAATAGAACATTTGCTGTCGGTAAAAGGATAATGCTGCACTTACGGACCCGAGGATGCAAATGGGGATTCCGATAAGCCATGTTCGGAATGTCAAGACCTGCAATGTGTTATCATCTGTTGGTGGGACTGTCAACCGAACTTGCTCGATCGGAGAGTCATCCAGAATCGAAGAACCTGAAAGAAGAGGAGAGGGAGGAAGAAAATGAAAAAGAATCATATAAGGATGACAGTAAGAAGTCAAAACGAAAGATGTCAGGGCATATCACCTTCTTCATCGGCCATTTGGTAGGACTCCTATTAGAGAATAAGCTGTAAATTGAGAAGATATAAAGGATCAAAGCATCTCTAAATATAGTGGAAAGGATTAATTGTCCAACCATTAATAGAAAGAGTTGTGCATAACACGGATTTAACCTCCTCGTTTCATTCCATTCATAGTATCAATATACAGAGTAAAACGCTTAATCACAGCCATATATTACAAAAGTAAAGTACAACTCTAAGAAGTTAATCACACATCCCACTAGATAAAATAACCTAAGTTAACGAGGATTAGATAATAATAAACTACATAATGTCATTAACCGACGCTGGATTTGGATGACAACACGATAGTTTTTCGGCACAGCAGTCTTTACCTTCGCCAATAAAAACATTAAAATAATCATTATAAACAACATAAAAATAAATAGCATCACACCAACCATCCTTCGCACGCTACTATTTCACAACTCGTACTCGTTGTTATACTATGCGTACCATTTTATAAACAATGGTTCGACCTACTCCCTCTCAAAAGCCAGCCCACCCGTGAGCTGACAGTGCCAGCCCACCCGTGTTATCCTATGTCATGGTAAAACTTTTGTTATTTCATTATGCACAATATATTTTTTTCTTTTGTCCGGTACTTGGCATCGACAAAGAAAGAGTACTTGGCGCTCTACGGCTGAGGGTCCGGTACTCATCGCCTGCCATTGTTGGCCTCCCACTCGGCATTCGGGTCGTTGAGTCTGCGAGAAGGCATTCGGGTCTTACCAGGCTCTAGGTTGGCACAAGGCCAGCCACCGGAAGCCTAGCAACGGTGTCAAGGAATTTAGTATGACTCTAGATAACACATTTTAACACTAACTCAGATAAACTTCAGATTATCTTCCAGCATTATATAATTTCTTTTACAGGTTGAATAAACATGGAATGAATGAATCTCAGGGCTACAAGTATTTTGTTTTGCGTGCACAAAAAATAGCATTATCACATGGATATGAAGTCATCAATTGGTATGAATTCTACATCTGGATGAATTGTATGTCCTCGGTTGTTTCTGCTCTAAAACTTGTGTTCCTTGATGAACAGGGAAGAGACTTTCAACAACTTTAGGAGTCAACTCAGCCCAAAAACTGTGGTTCATAACTGGTATTTTTTCTTGATCTGCCATGTTTGTTCTAATTGGTATCAAGCAATACATATGCTTTCAAATATGTCAAATGTAAGTTCTCATCATTAATGATAAAACACACATCAAATGTTGAATTTTTGGATAATAAATGTGGTCATTAACAACCCTCATATAATCAGTGATACCATGATGAAACGTGGGAACAGAGACCATCCATCATTCATTCATCATACTTGTAGTTGATGTTGTAAAATGTCTAATATTAGTCAAAATAAACATATTTATAATCTTTGACTTTGTACATGTATAGTAACAATTTGCTTTTTCAGCATCCATCTTCTGGTCAGCATGGCAAACTGAACAAACTAATGCAGCATCGGACCAATAGGACCAACGCTGAACATTAGCGCATCGCACAAAGTAGCTCACGTCGTTGTCGCGGGCACTCACCTCACGGGTGGGCTAGCTTTTGAGAGGGAGTAGGTCGAACCATTGTCTATAAAATGGTACTCATAGTACAACAACGAGTACGAGTTGTGAAATAGTAGCGTACGAAGGATGGCTGGTGTGATGCTATTTATTTTTATGTTGTTTATAATGATTATTTTAATGTTTTTTATTGGCGAAGGTAAAGACTGCTGTGCTGAAAAACTACCGTGTTGTCATCCAAATCCAGCGTCGGTTAATGGCACTATATAGTTTATTATTATCTAATCCTCCTCGTTAACTTAGGTTATCTTATCTAGTGGGATATGTGATTAACTTCTTAGAGTTGTACTTTAATTTTGTAATATATGACTGTGATTAAGCGTTTTACTCTGTATATTGATACTATGAATGGAATGAAACGAGGAGGTTAAATCTGTGTTATGCACAATATGTTTTTTTTTTTCTTGTTTCTTTTTTTCAGGTTAAATCTGCGTTTTACTCTGTATATTGATACAAGCCCAACAATCTCCTTCTCCGGCTCGCTAACAATCTCTGCAACCTTTATTAACAAAATTAAAGCATATTCCTAACACTTAATCACACATCAAAGATAGATAAATAAAAACAATAATTATCATCATTAAGATAAGCAAAAATTAAGACAACTAGAATCGCACCTTGGCCATATCTCACACACCACGATCTGGGAAACCACTGCCTCTCAAAAGCTCACCCGTGAATCCACTGTCTCTCAAAAGCTCACCCGTGAAATGATGATGACCGTGACAGTGACTGAGCAAAATACTTCGAGCAACGCGCAAATCTTCACCCGCGTAAATACCATAAGCCAGCATTAATGGGATTCATATGTTGATCCTATGGGTCCCGTTTCAGTCGTCAATGGTCACGAGTGATCCAACAATAACTAACTAACTAACTAAATCATCAAAATTCAGCAACCATATTATTTATTACCTCTTGTTTACCAAAAAAAAGAATAAATAATGATTTTTTTAATACCAATTTCTCGATACTAAAAGAATCACCTGAATCGATAGCACCAGCAGCATGGCCGGCAGTAATGGGATATCCTTGTGGTAGAAGATCTTGGACATGGATAATATTTCGAAGCCGGAAGAGGCACTTTCCGTGCCTTCCTTTTGCAGGAACTCGCAGTCCACCTCTGTTT